AATAAAAGAGGGGTAATCAGCTGAAAGCGAATGTCCCTATAAAACTGACAATACAAGAGAATGTGAACTGTGGTTTCAATGGCACCCATACCACAGGGGCAGTATCGAATATCATAAGGGTTTTAAAACAAGAATGCAATATGTACTGTTTGTATTGTATATAACTGTATGTAAGTGCATGCAACTTTATTTTTTTTAAAAAGCATTGTAAGCTTTTTATAATTTTTGGTACGTTAGACTGAAAAATATACCTTGGAGAAAGAAACATGTATGGCAGAAAATTTTTTAGAAAGGAAAACCAACCCTAACCCTAATAGTCACTGCTTTTGAAATTGATACTTTCTATTATTTCAGTGGAACTTGTGATTATTCAGTCTTATCTATTATGTCCTCAGCATAGTTACAACTCAATTGTTACTCTGTGATTACTGTACATCATAATGCAGTTTCGTACATTCCAAAATTAGAATTAAAATTCATGAATTCAGATTTGCCTGTGTTACATCTTATTCTCTTCGTGCATGAATTGTAGAAATATGGGAATTCCTGCTAAGCAATATAAATGCCTTAGAATGTTTTCTTTGAACATGCAGAGAACATTTCACATTTGACCTTGTAGTACTTCCAAATAGTTAATTGAATATCTGCAGAGTGCATATATCATCAGTATTAACATGGGGAAAACAAAAGGAACCTGAATTTCTATTATTGCTTCCCAGAGAAATACTACCACAGTAAAGAAGTAGATTCGTAGACTAAATTGTGAGAGCTTGGCTGCCTGAAAGACAAGGGAAAAGAAATGTTTTCCAAAATATTGTCTGCATTGCAGAAATATATAGTCAGTCAGTCAGTCAGTCAGTCAGTCTGTGTCTGTCTGTCTGTCTGTCTGTCTGTCTACCTACCTACCTACCTACCTACCTACCTACCTACCTACCTATCTATCTATCTATCTATCTATCTATCTATCTATCTATCTATCTATCTATCTATCTATCTAGTTAGGAAACAAGATAAAACAGAAATTTATGCATTATTTTTGCTAAGGAGTACAATTTTTGAGGAGGAGGAAGCCAAACTGGGCAATATGACACAAGTAGGGGGTTTTTTTCCATATAAAGATTGGACCTTGATGGGATGGTGCTACTAGTTGCTGAGAAAAGAACTGAGTGGGATTACAGAAACCTGTTTTGATTACTTGGTTTATGAAGAATTATAAAATAAATGCAGCAATGTCTTTATTTTCTAATCAGATAAAGACAAATTAACAGGGGAGAATTGATTCTTTTTGTATAATCATAAAGACTGAAAATGCCCTTCGCAAGTTTTGTTATGAAAATACCACTTTCAATTTTTTGTTTAGATTGTAATAAAACTGTTAAGTAAATATAAAATACATTTGCATGAGTAAATATTTACTTTGCATTCATTTGTGTGTGCATTTCACTTATGTAATGGCAGAAACAAAGGCGCTTAGGGATGAACTAGGTATGGGCAGTGGGAGTGGTTTGAGAAGGGAAGTTGAAGTTGCTGAAAAATAAATTATCTTCCAAACAGTTATTATAATTTTTGAAAACTTGAATGAATTTCACTATCCTAGAAACTTGGCAGCATAAATGCTAATGTGAAGAATTCCAGAATAGATGAGATATGATTGGTACTAAATCTTTGAGTGGATTTTGTTATGCTAAAGTGATTTTGTGTATAGACATCATAACAGAAGAATTAGTTCTTACTTTATGTAAGTGTACAGAGTTGGCTGATTTCCTTGCTACCATATTTTGTGTAATTTATTGAGAGATGTTATAAAGAATATTAGATATTGGTATATACTGGCAAAAGATATGCCTAATGTCTCTGGAAAAAGCTGTTAACTGGATATGGCTATAGTCTGCAGAAAGAGATGCTGGCCGGTTCTGACCGGATAATCAATTTATTAGAACATTTCCATTATTCTCATAACATTTTATATTGGTATAGTGAATCAAAGAATAACTAAGGTTGATGTTTTACAAAAATGGTATTCTTTGATGTCTACCTGTACTTGTCCTTGCCCACTTTTTAACAACTGCATTATTTCACAAATATATTTTGATCAAGTAACAACATATACTTGAACATACTGATTTCTAATTTTATATCTTTTTCATAGAGAATGAGATATTGATAATCAACTTTTGAAGTCTTCACAGATAGCAAAAGGTGTGCATGAAGCTGCAGATGAAGTACAGTGGGCAGACGTATTTCTTTTCCATCTTTTTTACAGAGAATTTAAAATAGTTAGGGATGGATATGCTTTTTTTCTTTAGATATATCACAGAAGTTCTTTCAACATCTCCACTACATCTTGCACCATTAATCATTATACTTAATGTTTTCTTTTGAATCTTTTTAGTTTGTTGCAAGGCAAGTCTGCTTTGTCCATCTGTTGTAATATTTTATGATTTGGCTTGTCCACATAGGCTTCCTCTTCTTAGCTTAATTCATTTAAATCACATATTTGCCAAGTAACTCTACTGCAGCATACAAAAATGTTTATGGGTGTGGGTGTACATCAGAGGGAGTGGACTCTGAATTATCTCTATAAGACAGTAAGTACCCAGGCATATGTAAAATCAGGAACAACTCTTATCTTTCTCTAACTCCTGCTCAGAAGAAGTTATTGAAGAGTTTGATGGTGAATAAAAAGATAAATAATTTAAGAAAGAGAAAAGGCTTGATAATAAAGCCCAAGGTAGTTGAACAAAAGCCTGGAGGAGGAATATTGAAAGGTAGTTATACAAAAATAAGCAAGGAATATTGGGAAGAAATAAGTATCTGTTTAATCAGATAACAAAAATTAAAATAGCTGGAACATTCCAGTGTTCCAGCCAACCTATCTGGATCAATGTTTCATACATTTATTGACCACCCCTTACAGAACTGACCATATTCTGTGGTCATTCTGTTATACCATTTCTAGTCTCATATGTACCAAGTAGCAGGGGTGGCCTG